CCATTGTTTCTAACATATTTATAAGATTATGTCTTTGTTGCTTTGTATGTACCTCCCCCATGGTATAACCCTTGCTTTCACTATATATGATGTTGGTATATGTGGAGGGGAAGGGAAAAAACAAATCGTTGAAACAGGAATAAGGAGGACCCATTGCAACAATGAGATGTACAAGTCGTTATGTCAAAAAACAAACTTTACAACTTTGGTGGGGGGGGGGATGGGGAAAGGATAGGAAGGGATGGGAAGGGGAAACAAAGAAGGAGGCTACAATGCTTGATAAGAAATGTACTCATTATCTTGCCCATGTAATTGTAACCCCTCTGTACAGTATGTTCACAATAAAAAAAAAAAAGATTTAAAAAAATCTGGGCTACAGGTTAGGCTTTACATTCACAAAAGTGTTTCTAGTTTAAAACTTGATACTCCTGGAAAAAATAAAAACTAAGAATGTAAAACAAAAAAACTGGGAGAACATAGTTTTGTAACAAATCTAAAGGCACAGCCACATGGGGCTATTTTTATTAAAGTCCTGTAAAATTTTAAATTTTTATTCAGTATTTCACACGTGGCTAGTGGTATTCTGATGTGAAATAATCTCATCACAGAATGCTTACGTTGGGTTTGGAATACACACATTTCTACAATAAATGCTGCAATAAAGCAATGACAAAAGGACATTAATAGACACGACATACAATGCAAAACCCCCAGGAACTGCTGCTGCTGCTGGCGATGAAGCTCAATGGAAGACCACTTGCCCAGCAAGCCTAAGATCCTGGATTTGATTTCTAGCACTTCAAGAGGGAGAAAGAGGGAGGAAGCAATAGAGGGAGAATAGCATACTATAAACATGCAAAAAGTCATTTCAATCTCACCAGTAATGAAACTAAGCTCATATCCTTTGCACATCCCAATTAGCAAGACTAAAAATTGATCATAGTAAATACTGGAGGATGGACATCAATGAATCTGTAACACTGTTTTAGCAAGGTACCCATGGCAACACTGTAAAAGTAATTTGGCATTATCCAGTCATATGGAGCTCTGAAATGCCAGCAATTCTAGTCTAGAAGTGTTTCTCCTCATGAGCTAAACTGTCACCTCCCACCCCTGAGAAAACTTAAGGCACTTGGAAATATGTGTGGAAACATATACACAAAACATGGTTCTGCTCTTATTTACTGTACAGAAGGCCAAGGATAATAAAGTTCCCCCAAATAAAGAATTATCCTATCTGTTATTGGGTGCGGTAGCACTTGCTCATGGTGCTAGCCATTTGAAAGCCAGACATAAAAGGGTCTAGTTTTGTGACCAGTTTGCACAAAAGTTAGCAAGACCCTATCTCAACAAATGAAATGTTAATTTTGGTATGCCTGCATACAAAACAACCCCAAACACCAAAGTAGCTAGGGTAGGGCTTCAAAAGTGTTAGAGCAAAGTTATCTCTGGGAGAAGGAGGGAGAAGCCTTGGCAGGTTATAGGAGGTCCACTGCCAAGTCTGCTCATGCTTTATTTCTTTAGCTGGCTAGTTTGTTAAAATGTTCCTTTCAGTATATTTCTTCATTGTGTGTGTGTGTGTGTGTGTGTGTGTGTTTTATACATGTTTTTAAATGTTTGATAAATTTCATCATTTTTTTAAAAAGCCAGCTCTTATTAGTGTTCTGGGGTTCAAGGGAGCTAAAAGTGTGAGTAATTGTGATGGAGACATTTTACAGACTACACAAGAGTCAGCATTTCCCCAATGGAAATCGGACCCTGCCCAGACTGATGGGATCCAGAGTTTTCAGGCAGTTATTAATCATGTCAAGAAGCTATCAGGAGTCTATCTGTTCAGTATAGCATGAGAGATATTTTATAGATTAAAAGATATCATCATAATAAGCAACAGCAAATTTTAAGTAAGACTTAAATGTAAGCTTTCATTATTACGCTCACTGTGGCCATAAGACCAAAAGGATCTAGAAATTGTGGGGAAAAGAAAAAATTTAGGATTTAAGTGCTCAAAGTTAGGCTGAATGATATAATTATCTCCATGTATGAAAATGGAGACACAAAATCCACTGGCTCTGGGTGCTCTGGTAGGCATATGGAAAAGATTATGGAGAACTTAAAAAAAAATAGATTGTTACTCAATATGAGAAGGAACTTTATGACAGCTAGTGAGAAGACACACAATGTAGTGATACTCCTTCACTTTTGTCCATCAAGACATTTTAACAAAAAAATCCTATTTTGAATAAAAACATACATTATTAAAATAAACTGTCAAATTAGGAATATTAGCCAGGCACCAATGGCTCACGCTTGTAATCCTAGCTACTCAGGAGGCTGAGATCTGAGAGTCACGGTTCAAAGACAGCTGGGGTAGGAAAGTCCATGAGACTCTTATCTCCAATTAAACACCAGAAAACCGGAAGTAGTGCTGTGGCTCAAGTGGTAGAGTACTTGCCAGTTCTCCTACTTTGTAGTAAAGCAACTCTATAAAACTCATTTTAGGTCGGGAAGCTGGCTCAGTGGTAGAGTAACTTGCCTTGCATGCATGAGGCCCTGGGTTCAATTCCTCAGCACCACATATGCAGAAAAAAGCCAGAAGTGGCACTGTGGCTCACGTGGTAGGGTGCTAGCCCTGAGCTGAAGAGCTGAGGAACAGCACCTAGGGCCCAGAGTTCAGTCCCTATGACCAATAATAACAACAACAACAAAAACCCTCATTTTAATCTCTGTGACCTCAGTTTCCCCATGCGTAGTAGAATAAAGAATCTCCGTTCCTTCAAATTTATTTAGAAAACATCCATGTTAAAATCAGGATTGATATGGCCCTGAACTTGTATCTGCTGGCTAAAATTTCTAAATATCACTTTGAAGGTTTCCAAACGTCATCACATCTAGATATGGAGAGCAGTGACATGAGACCAAGAACCCAGAGCAACCTACATATTTGGAAAGAGCCAAAGTAACAGCATCTACTTATTACTTCCAGGAAAGAGGCAGAACTGATACACCCAGATCAGTTTCTTTAAAATGCTATCAAGTAACCTTTGGTTGAAAAATTTATTCTCACGTTTTGTACAGAAATAGTCACATGTGAAAAACTTCTAGATTTAATGGCCTCAAAGTAAGTTTGAACTTGTGCAAGAATAAAAATGAGTCAAAAATCATGAAGATAAGACGATACCTCAAGCCACATCATACTTGCTGCAATTTTGGGTCATTAATTCTTAACTGTATCTAAAGTTAAGAAAAAGAATGCACCATTACTTTAAAGTTCACCTGCCAAAACCAATAAAAAAAGAATTTCAATATCTATAAATAGGAAATGCTGCACCATCAATATTGAACTACAGTAATTTCTTACGAATAAATATATCTTATAAAAAACTTCTCTCTAATGACACTTGTAAAGCTTTGAATTCTTATATGGCACATTTGAAGTTAAGATTGGGTCAAGCTGTTCTCAAAGATCTTTAGGTTATTTTAATATAAAATTGCATTTTATTCTCTTTAGCATTTTACTCTGTGGAAGCATTCTGCTACACTCCTGGCTTTTAGCTAGGTTCTGTTTTTTGTGCTTTTTTTTTTTTTAAACTTGAGTTTCAAACCTAGCTTCAAATTACCAGTTGATAGTCACATGCTGTAATGAAGTTGGTAGATTAGCTGAAATTAAAACCGACTCCTTTTTACCACTCTTCTCAAGCCCTAATTATTTATGACCAAGTTCATGAACACTATGTTTTAATTTAGGAGGCAGTCCATTTGAAGCCAGCTATAAATAAATACAATCTGGTCTCAAAACATCTTGACTTCACAGAGCATTGAAAGAAGCTGAGAGGAAAGGAGTGAATGGAAGATATAAGGAAAGCGGAAAGAAAAAAAACAACAAAAACAGAAGAAGCCAACATCAGATGAGCTGCTTCTGTGCTAGAATCTTCCATATATTTGATTTCATTTTATTCTCCATCAATTTGGCAACACTTAGTTGTCAGAGCCCAAAGAGCAGATGTTATGATCCCCTTAAAGTTGGGTAACTATAGCTCAAAAGCAAGGTAAAAGAAAGCTGGGCACTGGTAGCTCACATCTGTAATCCTAGTTACTCAAGAGACTGAGATTTGAGGATCATGGTTCAAACCCAGCCCAGGCAGGAAAGGTTGTCCAATTAACCCCAGAAAACCAGAAGTAGAGCTGAGGCTTGACCTGGTAGAATGCTGGCCTTGAGCATAAAAACTCAGTGACAGTGACCGGGCCCTGAGTTCAAGTTCCACAACTGACCAAAAAATAAAAAGGTAAAACGTAGAAGTGTGGCTCAAGTGGTAGAGTACCATCCTTGAGCAAAAAAGCTAATAGACTGTGTTCAGGCACTGAGTTCAAGCCCCAGTACCATTACAGAATTTAGTAAACAATTTTTTAAGGTAAAATTGTTTAGCAGGTCCAACAGAATAAAGAACAGCAGAATATAACATGAGGCTTGTCTGATTCCTAGCTCTGTACACTTCTATGAGAGATGAGATTGTTTTCAGTATTTTTAGATTTAAGTACTTTAGGGATATTCGAAACAAAAAGAGACTACTTGGGCTGGGAAAGTGGCTCAGTGGTAGAGTGCTTGCCTTGCATGCACGAAGCCCGGGGTTCAATTCCTTAGCACCACATAAGCAGAAAAGGGTAGAAGTGGTGCTGTGGCTCAAATGATAGAGTGCTGGCCTGAGCTGAAGAGCTGAGGCACAGCACCCAGGCCCAGAGTTCATGCCCCAGGACAACCAAAAAAGAGAGAGAGAGAGAGACTACTTTCCAGATAGAACATGAATAGGAGAAAACTATCCACATGACTATTGCTTCAAATGCTTCTAAGGATCCAAAAGGTAGGGTTGTCACTATTATGCCTAAAATGTCCATGAAAGTATACAAAAAGAGCATCAGGAGGCCTTCAGTAAATTTTGCTTGGAAAAAGCAAATCTAGAAGCAAGACAAAGTCCGGGAAGGCCAAGCACCCCATGGCTTCTTACCTGCTGTACTTCGCTTTCTCCATTGGAGATTTTCTCAGTATAAACAAAGGAGTTGAATATCCGCTGCAACCAAAAGAAAACAAACAAACATTAGAGTCTCTAAATAAGTCATCTTCTATATATGTGCGTGTGAATAACTTGTGGCATATAACTCAAACAGAATCAAGCAGAAAGAAATTTAATTAAAATATAGCAATTTTAACAGGGAGAAACCCAAATATCAGCCCAAGTCAATCATGCTTATATAAGCATTACCCAGGCACTTCTGTAGTGAAATAAACCAGATGTTACACTATATTTTTTCTTTTTTCAAAAATACATTTAATTATAGATTTCCGGAGCCCATGCCATTTTATCCGACTGCTATAATCTGACAAAGTTGTGTTTCTCATTTAAATCCTGCTCTCCCTGAATGCTGTAATTGTTTACAGACACTAAAATCTAATGCAATAAAGGTTTTTATAAAGAATTCTTTCCATGCGCTCTCACGGCCCTATCCAGCCAGTACCTACCCAATAGTATCTACCACCTTGTTACTCAAGCATCCCCGTGGGAGAATAACATTATGGAGCTTGCCAACTATGTGTGGCCTTAAGAGAAGATCCAGTTCCTACATGCCAGGAAATGTGACAGCCTTGCCAAGACATTGGGAGGCCAAGATATAGCTCACGATCACACACAGTCTGCTACAGTCCCTGCCTAGCCCATACCTCCTCCTCTATACATTGCCTACAGTCAAAATGTCTCTGCAACTTAGAGGCCTTGACCAAATCACAAGAAATGAAGCAGGCAACAAATGAAACGAAAATAAAACGTGCCGGGGGTGGGGGTGGGTGGGCCCAAGTTATATAGCTATGAGAGGCATAAAAAACTTAAACAGAAATTTAAAAAGAGCAGCAGCAGCATTTATCTTAAAGATATTTTGGAATTCCAGATGAGTAAGGAGCCAGGTCTGGAGACATGAAGCCAAAATTTCCCTTTTCCTTTCTATCTTGCTGTCAAGGGTTTGTTAGCATCTGGAATAGCTTCCCAAACAGCTTAACACACCTGTTTGGTAATGAGAAAAACAAGTGCTAAATTCATCAAGCATCATATACATCGAAACAAAATGCAAATGAAGGAAGATCAAGCCACTGGGTTTGGAGAGAGAGTGAGTGAAGGTTAGGTTGGGTGGAAGAGGATTAGGTGGAGAGATACAAATAAGTTTGGGAATTTTTATTGTAAAAATATTGAGGCTGGGGGATTTCTAACTACAGTTTAGAAAACTGAAAGGAGCCATCATGATATCTCTTGTCATTCTGCAATATGCCACTACTTCACTCAATAGAGAACTGGAATTTTTTTCCTTCTTACCTGAAAATGACAGTGCTCATAAGAAAGTTTGCATTACTAATAATGCTCATAATGCTAATAACATTGACTAGACCGTATTAAATGCTCACTACAGGATGAGCATTATTTCTACTTGTTTGTTTATGTAATCCTTACAAAACAACTTTGGGATACGATTTTTATCATTATTTTCATTACACAGGTGAAAAAAACTGAAGCTTATGTTTGAAAGTCAAGTGTAATGCATACTTGGTGCTCTACATTCTTGCCTCATTTAATCTTCATTTTAAACTTATGATAGCTCTAAAGACGAAAATCAAAGACTCAAGGAGGATTAAAAAGTTGCTTTAAATCCCTTAGCAAGGCTAGAATTTAAATTCAGGTAGAGTAGCTCCAGGTCAGTTGCTTGGAATTTTATATGTCATAAGAATTTGCTAGTTGGCTGGGCGCCAGTGATCCTTGCTACTCAGGAAGCTGAGATATAAGAATCATGGTTCAAAGCCAGCCCAGCAGAAAAGTCTGGCTAAAAGTG